TTATCTACACGACTAGCTGTTCATCTAAGTCTCACCTCTTTCTTTGGAGCATTATTTCCTCCAAATTTCAAGGAATGGTACATGACTACTACATGAAGTGGTGAATCACCGACATCATCTTGTGCGTTGACATTAGCTCCATTTTCCAAAAGAAGTTTAGCTATTTTCACGTGTCTTTTATCGACTGCAAGGAGGAGAGGCGTCTGTTGACGACCATTGCGGAGATTGATGTCAAAAAGAGAGCGAGCCTGAAAAGATGGCAAAGTGTAAACCTGTTATAGTTGTTCTACAAGTTGTTCTAACGAGCAACATATCGACCATATGATATGATTAAGGTCAATGTGCATGTCTGCAAGATGCCTGGATATTGATCGTCTTCGTTACTAAAAAGGCCAATTTCCTTCCATCGTTACCCAAAGGTTGGATTTGTTGCTAAAAGATTTCAAAACCCAAAATCGTCATTTCCATTTTTTTTTCTTTTTCTTGACATTTTAAAAATAGCCTTAACTAAAGACGGACGGACCTATTCAGAAGTACAGAGTCCGAGATTCGGTCCCACGAGTGTTTTTTTGTTTTTGTTTTTGTTTTTTTTTTGCGGCACCGTGCCGCCACCCATGCAGTGAAGACACTGTGAAACATTCTGAGCTACAAACATGCTTGCCATTAAACCATAACTCGCAGTCAAACACACACTTACCTGAACTAAACATTTAACAACATCATAATGTCCGTTCAATGACGCCAGGTGAAGCGCTGAGAAGCCATCATCTTTGACTGCCCCCATTAAATCTGGTGACTTTTGTATAATCAGCGACGCTGCTCTGAATGGTGTGAAAGCCACAAAGGTTATCAAAACAAATACATCCCCAAAAACTTCTGTTTTCCAAAAAGCATTTGCAACAAACCTTAGAGCTACTAAGTTTTAAAATGTTGTGTCGATGTTATGATAATAAACAACACAACGATTTTAAATTGAGTTTGGAGAGTGATCCCCATTCGGAGATTTTTGCTGCGCATCAGTGCGTTCTGCGATTGGTCCAGAGAACTGACGTCATCCTCTCAGCCGTTTGCTCGCGTGTTTTCCCGCGCTTGAGATCGTTTGTACGTTTCTTTTGAGTTCTCATAGGCTCCCTGTGAAGCAGACCTTTCTCTGATTGGATGATGTTGATGTGTGCTTTAAGTTAAGCACACTAATTTAAATGTACGTTTTAAATTAGCTTATCTCTTTTCTCTAACTAATTTATTTCCACTTTCCAGTACTTGAAATTTCCCGTTATAGTTCACGTTGAATACTGACCTTGCATTTCCTTTCAAGGAAGCATGGTGCAAGCAATTGAATCCTCGTTTGTTCTTGATTGACAAGTCAATGCCACGGAAGTTTATAAGGAGTTCGACAATGTCTGCAAAGTCTTTAGCAATAGCGTCATGAAGAACAGTGTCGCCATAAGAGTCCTACGAACAAACAAATTTTCACCAAGATTAGCGACGTCACTGATGGTCCCTTAAAATCATTGAGACTACATTTTATTTTCATCTTCTACATTTACATCAACGACAAGATACGAGTAAGCAACATACCTGAGCATTGACGTTGCATGAGCAGCTAAGAAACGTTTTCACTACGTCAGTGAAGCCCTTGTTTACTGCAACATGCAAAGGGGAACATTTGTTTTTGTTGAGCCGGTTTCCGTCTGCTCCTCCTTTCAACAGAGCGGCAGCTGTTGTGGGCTGATTACTGTTGGAATAAATTATGGTTAATCGTGATGAATCATTTCGAAAGGCTCTGGATCACCCCTTGCAGCAGCCATTTATGAAGGTCTTATAGTTCTACGTTTAAACAAGACCGAGTCCCTCGCTCCGTGCAAGAGCATATGGATTCAAACACCGAGAACTGCTAAGCAAATATTGGTGACGTACTGACCACGACTGAGGTTGGTCAGTTACCCCTGTATCTTTAACTCACCCAAATGCTGCGTAATGCAAAGCAGTGTCGCCTTCAGGATCCTGAAAAAGAAAATAAAACAATATGTTATAATTGGACGGACACGTGTTTGTTCGGCCTAACTACTCTGAACACCGTGTGAAGATTTGCACACAAATTGTTCCAAGTTGCCTCTGAAACCAAAGCATCCTTTCTTTATGTGTACATACCTATGTTGATCAACTTTATTTACTAGAATTAGAATTCATATTTTTTTAACTGTATCATTACATACAGGACGTGCTGGTATCCAGTCGTTTCGTACCCACAGACGTTTCGTACTCAGTCGAGTTGTACCTAGCTTCAGATGATTCGTGCCCAGTTTGTGTAACTACATTTATGCCACTAAATTACTGCCTAGCACAAGGTTAGTGTGTCATTTTAAATGGAATAGATTATACTGCTATTAAATAAAAGAGACCAATCATAGTTTCGGATCCTTCAAACATACTTGACATGGAAAACATACTTTATCAGTATGGGTGCAAAACAACTTAACTGACAAGGTACAAATGCTCCTAGCTGGGTGCGAATAGACTAAGGACGAAACGTCTGTGGGTACGAAACAACTGGTAAGCGACGCAGTATGCAGGCGTGTCACATATCTAAAACTCTTGTGATACCTCATTTTAATTTGAAGACATGCGGTGCAAGATCTTTTTCCGTAGCTGCCCCACACAGTGGAACACTTTGCCGTCCGATATTATGAACAGCTCCTCAGTGTCCGTTTTTAAAAACAACTTAAAAGTTTCCTTTTGAAAAAAGCATTTTTATAATTTTTACTATTGTGTCGCTCTTGTTAAGCGCTTTTGAACTTTGAGGATACTAGCGCTATATAAATACTTTATTATTATTATTATTATTATTATTATTATATGAGCCTAACACAGTGCCTCCCTTATCACCTACTTCTCTGTACGAGCTTAGTTAGCAGAGAACACTACCATGAAATCAAATCTAGTTAGGGATCATATTCTTGAGAGACTTCGCTTATTCTTTATTCCTGTATCGACAAAAATTTCTGACGTTTCTCTTTAGAGATTCATCTGAATCAGACTCACTGACCTGTAAATTAACATCTGCGCCTAGCTGAATCAGAAGCTCAACAACTGCTGTTAGTCCCTGATGACTGGCTATCTGCAATGCTGTCTTGTCTGATCGCACCACATCCACCTGCAAACACAGTAATTAGTCAGCGCAAACAAAATTATGGAACCTTTTCACTTCGGAGGACTTGCGTCAAAGATAAATCGCTCCCTTTCCTCACTTTTGTGCGAATAAGCGTTCTCTATCTTTCACCTCCAGTGAAGTCGAAGCAATCCTGCAAATAACTTTGATGAACACAAGAAAATTTTACGTTGTGCGACAAACAACTTAAAATTCTTTGAAATATTAGTCGGTATAAATTGACAAGGAAAAAGAACTGAAACTTATGCCTATTCGTACCTTATCTGGATGGGCATGGAACAACTCCTTTAGTCGTTCAACATTCCCTTGTCCTGCTTCGCTTATGATCATGGATCCGATGTCAGTCGAACTGTTGATACGGAGATGGTCTAAAAGAGACCTCAGCGATTGGTCTTCATAAAAAAAAAAAAAAACGAAAACACAAAAAAACAAACAAACATTAATTGATTACTTTAGAGAAACCTATATTATCACCCACATGTTAAGTCGAAGACAAAGGTCTTCAAACTTGCATAAAACATTTCTCAAACGACCTAAAACTTCTCGAAACTCGACTTGAGCCTTGGGAATCGTGGATCGCGGATCGTGAAGCGAGTATCGAGCTTCGAAGGCCTGTCAACTTACATGTGAGTGGTACTGTATAAAATTACTGATTAATATTTTTGACAGAATGTGCAAAGAAGATGAGAAAAATTAATCGAATTGAGTGCTCGTCAATTACATTGTGGAGACTCAGTTTTAATAATTTGACGACAAATCCAAGAAGACATTTCACCATAATGGTTTTCGCTGAAACGCTTTCAGTATAATCAGTAGCATGAAATGGGGCGTCTTAGCCTGCAGTGCCGGCGTATTTTGGGCGCACGAGTGCACATTTTCGTATTAGGCCGCCATCTTAGGTTTGGTAACTGTGGAGGATTGGGGCGAGGAAATATTTGCCGAGGGAGTAGGTGTTAAGTGGAAGAATGGGCAACGCGGTAGAGGCTGGGGAAGGAAATGATCGCCAACGTAAGAAGCTTTGACAGTTAAACGAATTCTCCTGGTCAGTACCAAAGGAAATGTATAGAGAACAGTATGGAGAATATTAACACTGACTTTAGGCTGTGAAGGGTAAAGGTCTCTACCTATCTCTGTCTGCAACTGCTGAGATTGTCTTCGTTCCTCTGCTGTCAAATTGTCATGATCATGCTGCTGCGAGGCAGAAGAAGATGTAGAGGATGATGACGATTGTAAGATCCCTTGGAACTCCACCTGTCCCCTCTGCGAGGTGGACTGTGGCTCAGATGTGGCTGCAGATGCCTCTTTTACAAGTACAGCTGAGTTGAACGTCCATACATGATCTGCTACAGACACGCGGATGTCCCCATCGGAGTAAATCTTCAGCACTTTACCCACTTTGCCTAGAGCCTTTTGGGGAAGACAAAGCTAATTAACACTGGAACGAATAGGGCAATTTCCAGTCGAGTGTCAGAAGTAAATCCGGCACTAAATTGGTTTTGCTTTATTTCGCCCTGTGATTGGTTCAGAAAATTCGCGCCACTCTCTCAACCAATCAGATGCAATACTGAAACTTGGTAACCCGCGTTTTCCCGCGCTTTGGGCAGTTTGTTTTTACTTAATGAGCTTCCAGTGGCTCTAAGAGAAAAATTTCCTTTCTTCTGATTCGTCGTTTCGATTACTTTGGTGTTGGTTTTACGACTTTCAATCGAAAAACACGCCGATAGTTCTGATCTGAGCCAGTAAACTTGTGATTTACGAATAAACAATTATTTCTCAAAACTTTATTCCTTACCACAGCCATGCTATCTGTCCATTCTCCGTGCCCAACCTGAAGTTTCTTGAGCAATGGTTGATCTTTCATGATGCGTACCTTGTCATTAATATGAAACTCCTCCACCTGTCAGCAAATGACAAAATATCCACATGAAGTTACTCCTTTTGCTGGTACGTGGCAAAAATGACTGTCTTAAAAATTTCAAATACTATTGTAGCTACACTTCTTTGCCAACTACTTGTCACTGAAAGTATCTTATGACCTCTACAAAATCTTTTGATATGCTAGGTGTATGAAAAAAGAACAATCCCCAGTAAATACAACTCATTGCAAAATAAAAAAAAAAAACACAATACCTTTGTGAGAGAGGCTGGATGAAATGTCCACCTGTTTGCAAACCCAGGATACTGCACTCTGACATCCCCTCGCTCTGTGATTCTATGGACAGTACCCACTAGACCAATCACCTAAAATAATTAAGAACAATTCACAGTTACATGTAGTTTTGTCCGGCAGTTTATCAATGAAAGCTGTCTTTCTGTAGGGCGGTCAGGGAGTTAGTCATTCAGTCAGTCAATCAGTCAGTCAGTCTGTTGGTCATTTTGACAATCAATTGGTCAGACAGCTTGTCAATTAAGTTTTCTGCCTGTCTAATTAGGTCAGTCATACAGTGTGTCTATGAGTGAGTTAATGAGTCAGTCAGTCAGTAAGTCAGTCTGGCTGTGAGTCCATCTGTGTGTTATTGAGTTACTTGCTTGGTCAGTCTTTTGGTCAATCATCTATCCTTCAATGTGTCAACAGGTTAATCAGTCACACAAACAGTTTGCCTGTGAGTCAGTTTGTCTGTCTGTGACTCAGTCTGTCTTTTGGTCAGTCAAACAGTCACTCAGTTAGTCAGTCACTCAGTCAGACAGTCACTCAGTTAGTCAGTCACTCAGTCAAACAGTCACTCAGTCAGTCAGTCATTCCATCAGTCAATCTCTCAGTTGCATCAACTATTCGAATCCTCCAAAAAATCAATGTCTGTCATAAGTACCGTTGTGCAGTCGATAGATAATTATGTAAATATGCCTATTTAAGTAAGTAAGTACATATGCCTACCTGTCAGCCAGCTAGCTATATCACTCAGTCATCCATTCAGTCAGTGATTATTGTTTTAATGAGTCAAATTTTAGGACATACCTCTTCCATTTTGTCATTCCATCCACCATGTCCTTCCTGAATATCCTTCAATGTAGTCACATCCAAAAGCACTCTGACGCGTTCACCAACCTCGAAATTCATAGAGTGATCAACTGCACCAGTTGCTGAGGCTGCACTACTTGTTGAAGGGATTATCAGGGATTCAGGCTTCTGTCCAAGTTTTGGCAAATGATTCTTGTAATAAAATCCTCCAGAACCTTCCCTTAGGCAAATCAAATCCACCTGGAAAAAAATAAAAACCAACAACAACAACAATTAAAAAGATTCAAGCTTAGAAGATGTCATTGCACACATCTGACAAGTCAAGCCTACAAATTTTTTCGAAGCCACAGATCTTTAACCTATTGACATCCAGTGCATCCATAAGCGCCCATGTGGAACCACACCCTTTCTACGCCTTGTGATGTCATCACTTTTAACCCTGGAGCACGACTTTGAGCACATACTTAAACAGGTTGAAAATATCTTACAAACGATACCAGAATGAGTGCAATTGAGTGAAGGAGATTGGAGAATGGCCAAAAAAACATGTAACTTTGACCTGAAAATCTGCACGAAAATCTTGTTCCATTACCCACCTACCTTTCTAAGCATGTGGTTTGAAAATAATGAGTAGTTTCCTAAAAAATCTCTACACCAAAATGAAGCCTACTAAATTTCCAGCAAGTGCATAAGGAGAAACTTCAGGCAAGGGAAGGGGAAAAAGGGCAGGGGAAAGAGAGAAAAGTAAAAGTTGTAAGTGGGGCATTAATTTGCTCCGAATTTTGCTTTCTGCACCTGCCAGAGATTTTCAGGCCGCCATTTTGCATTTGGATATAAAGGCTGTCGAGTGTACAAGCTGTCAATGGGTTTGTGGTAAGTTTGAGCTTTTAAAACCACAACAGTGACCCGATATCTGTTCGACTAGCTTCAAAACACAGTTTTTCAAAAAAGCTGTGGCTATGAATGGGTTAAAATAATCTTCCTAACAGAATTGGACACGGCTGACTTACACCACTGGTGTCTTACAGCCAACAACATCACAGAAAAACTGACCAATCATTTTACATGAACTGGACTAAGGACATTCTACTAACAACAACTAGTCACTTGATGACTTCAGCAGAGTTTGTCAAAACGTCAGTCACTGCCAGCAACAACAGTCCTTCTCTGGAATAAATTCCCTCAGACGATCATGCTACACTTTCACAGCATTGAACAAAGTTAAAATCACTGTTAAATCCTAGAATTTGATCCCCAATTGCTTCAAATTTTGAGATCAGGTGCCCCAGCAGCTATTTAGCAACGGAGATGTGAACCCTTTCACTAACATGGGTGACCAAGATAAAATTTTCTCTCCACAATATTAATAGAATAATTTATGTAACAATTACAAGCGATAAGAAAAAAGAAAAACTCAAACATTAAGAGATTATTAGTTGACCCAACCCCAAATTCTCCGAACTAACATCAAGACAATTGTGTAGAAGACAGTTAGGAGAATTATGAAATGATATCCCTAGGCAGGGCATCTGACAGGATGCGGTGGTGCAGATCCACATAATTTGCTTACTTCCGCATTCTCCGCATCCTTAACGCATTTTTCTGCATAAAACTAAAAAATTTCTACATTTAAGCGAGACAGCAACAGCTTACCATCCCCAGAAGCAAAAAAAACGAAAAGATTGATCATTTTGAAGCAGTTATTCACCCAAAACAGCGATGAAAACATGCCTTTCGTTCGTATTTGTAAACAGTTTTAAACCCCCAGGCATTCCATGCATCTTCTGGTGATGGGCCTGGGTTCTACTCTTGTTTTAATACTGATTTCCGGTGTCCAGATTTCCTCCTCCAATTTAATGGCTGGCTACTGAGCTTTGGACAAACTCAACGACTAAAACTATGAAAAAACTGTGTTGAAAGAAGACATACCTCATAAAGGACTAAAATTCTTGGTAAGACGTTAATGTGTATTTTATACGTTGGAAAAAGGCAAGGGAACAAGTTTATTAAGTTTTAGACATTTCCGCATAATCGTCATTTATTTTTCCATATAATATTGCCGAAAATTTCCGTGTAACTTTCCATTTTTTTCCGCCCCCTATCAGATGGTCTGCCTAGGTGGGCTACATGTATCCAATACAAAAGGCCAGTTCACCAGTATCATCAACTTCTCCTAAAATCATGTTTCCATTAGAATAAATGCTGTTTATCGAGAGTACAATACAATACACATGTGTTTAACTTCATTACCCAAAGTGCAGCCAATTAATTTCCAGTAAATCCTCTTTCTTGGCCTGTAGTTGTTATTGTCAGGATTTTCAGACAAACAAACTTGTGGTCCTGACAAGTAAAATTAACGGTGCACTTATCCAATTAAGGACAAGAGAGTTGAAAAGAAAGTTTCTTACCCTGCTACTTTTACAAGGATGCACAAAGCTGCTAGAAAGTAGGGTCACAACCAGATCCTAGTGGTTAAGAGGTGGAACATTAAATAGCTAACATGCAGGTATACTACATACCTTCCCCTTGTGTCCCACACGGTACACATTTGTACTAGTAGGTTTCCACATCACACATGCTACACTCTGAAAACTCTCTGTCTCCCAGCCTCTCACTTCTACAACTTGACCAACACTCCCCTCTCCTCCATCTTGATTTCCCCAGTCCCAGTCCGGTCCTCTTGTAACCTGTGCACCACAAAATATACCCTTGGCCTCAACTTTACATTTTCCGAGTCTTCTGCCAACATAAACCCTAACGAAAAAAAAAAAAGAAAAAAAAAAAGAAAGAAATCAGAACATGTAATATATCCTTAAAGAAGTTGTAACACAATGGACTTATTTTGTTCATATTAAATTAATGAGAAAACATGACTGCAATTCAATAGAAATGATAACAACAATGATCATAGTGATAATGACAATGATGATGATGGTTATGATAAACATAATAATAATAATTATAATAATAATAAGTACGTAAATTGAAGCTTCCCCTTGGGGGCTTTTCAGCCACAATGTAGACTAAGAGCTCAAAAATCTCTACTGGCAGGAGGCAGACCAGTGGGCTATTAACAGAGCACAGCTGAGGAGTTGAACGAGGGGCAACTGTGAACAAATCCAGTGAGTGGCAGGGTGGAGGACTTGAGCCAGGGACACTGGATTACAAGTCCAGCACCTTAACCACTCGACCATGCCACCTCCTCCAATAATTATAATGATAATGACACTTGCAAAGGAAATTATATTGATCATAACCATGACCATAATAATGACAGTGAAAATGATAAGGATGATGATGTTGCGTGATGAGAGAAAAGAAAAATATCAATCAGGGGATTATTAGTTTAATATCCAAAACTAAGTTCTCTGAATTAACATCAAAAGAATTGCACGGCAGACAGAGGGATTGAAAGGGTTATTAAACATAAACACCCCCTGGTTAGCTCAATTGGTTAGAGTGCCGGACTGTGTTGTGCGGGAGGTTGAGGGTTTGAGCCCCGGCCGGACCAATACTGAGGAGAATTTGCTACCTTTCTATAATATCAAGAAATGGATAGATATTCTAGTATTCTTGGATAAGGACGAATAAAACCGTAGGTCCCATCTCCTGCAGGGTTAGGGGTAGGAGACGTTGATTTCCCATGCACGAGATTACTGTGTGGTGGATGTCCTCCCCTGGGGTGGGATGAGTGGGTGGATTTACTGGGCCTGCAGTACTTGGCGCAAGCTGTTGTGGTGTCCCTGCCTGTCAGCAAAGCTAATAAACTATAACTCAAACCAGTACCAAGCTTAATATCAACTACAAATGAAAAGCACGTCATTGTTTGTAAATTTTACAAAGTCTGTCAAGCACTTGAGTGAAAACCATTTGGGAGTTGAAATTCAAGAATGAATCCAAACTGATTCCAAACTCAAACTACCCTTTTCGTTGATTCAGATTGCAAACATGTTCTGAGTGTAAGATTATGCTTTGAGTATACTTATAGTTAGGTACATGACATAACTTACTACAAGTTAGCAAATTGCTAAGCACTCAAGAAGGTAGAGTCACTCTTCACTATTGCCTTGCATGACTCTTACCCTGCTTTCGTGCTTAGCATCCTCCTGCGTGTATCCATAACTCAATAGTGTACACTGTGGTTTCTATTTGTTTTATAACATAACTTTGATATATTGTACCAAAAGAGTTTCCTTTTACTTAACACTGCAATCTTATGTGACCAGAAAAAACAAGTGCATGAAAACCAGTCTTTGCATTAACTCAAGTCAGCAGCGCACACCCATAGGCAAATGGTGGACAATAAATTTGACCAATCAGAGTGCATACTTTTCTTTGGCTAAGTTAAAAAGTCAAGATAAGACAAAAGACCCTCTGAAAATTGACATTGTTTATTTCAACTAAAATGAACATGTCATTGAATATCTTAAGGCTGATCATAACCTTAAATCCAACAACAACTCACCCTGGTTTTCCACGAGCCTCTATTCTGTTAAATCCATGCTCCAGTGAATGCTTATCACCCATATAGCATGAAGTACACAAATTGTAGTTCACACAATCAGCACATTCCCAGCGCATTCCTTCAATGGATTGCTTCTTACATTCATTACAAGAAACATTATTGTGTATAATACCTGATAAAATAACAAAAGGCATGTCATTATAGGTAAACAAAGCCGGCTGCTCAAAGACCCCTGTTGGAGACTATGCGGTCACTTTCTAAAGAACCAAACTTGAAAGGAGATTTACTAGCGACTCTCTCTCATATCTACAGTTTTTCAGGGTCACCCATAGCATTTAAGAGAAGATGTCATTAAAAAATCAGACAAATTCACAAATCACCAACCACAGTAAAAAAATCAAATTGGCTCATCATCCTAGTATTAGGTAGGCCTGTAGGTAAAACAAACCTAGACATAATGTAGTTTGTTGAAAAATTCTTTTGTTTTTGAGAAAATTGATAAAAATTCAAGCATAATTAGCGTCATTCGAAGGCTGAATTTGGTTCATTTTTGGAAGCCTCGTTTGTACTTGTAAAAGCAGTAAAAAACTTATTCCACAGACTTTTAGAACAATGTCTCCCCTATGTTTTCACTAAAAAGTTGAATCTATTTAAATTTGAATAAAAAACAGATTTTTCTATCTATTTACTAAGTGCCATGTGAAAAGTAGGGTAGAAACTTTTTTTTTATATTTGCTACATGAATAGATCACAGATGACACGAAGATGTGGTAAAAAAAACGAAAAAAGCAGCACACCAGAAGCAGCTGAGTGTGTCACTGATGTTATTACCGCATTTTGATGTCATCTGTGATCTGCCTAACTGTGCAGACCTACAGAAACATGGAATCTGCTCTCTTATCTATAAAATTAAAAGCAAAATGTTGTTGATGTTGATACTATCTGTGTCTGTCCTTGGGTAGATCATGTGTAAGAACCAATCAAAATGTGTTTATAATTCAACTTATCAGGTAAAATTTGATAAACCACAAAGAAAATTGATGATGCACAATTTTGTTGACGATTTGCAAAATTCCCTTACATGAGTTTAATCACTTGAAAAAGAAAAGATAATATTACAATCTATTTCTTATTTAGCTTATGATATAAAATTAAATATATATTTCAAAAGCAAGTGGAGGCACAAAATTTCTTTGATTCCAGAAAAGAATTCCTTAACTTTTTACTAGATAAAAAAAAAAGAAAACAAAAAAATTTCATTCTAATTCTTGTTTAGCTTACGATACATAAATTAATACATTACAATAGGAAGTGATGGTGCAAAATTTCATCGATTCCATAAAAAAATTCCTTATCTTTCTCACTTGATGAAGAAAAACAGATAATAGATTCCAGCCTATTTTTCAAGTGAAATTATGCGTGCATGGTGTGACCTGATTCTGAGAACTTCAAGATTCTATGAAATTTTTCCACGAATGTCGTCCAAATTCACGGAAAGCAAAAGCTCATCCAAAAATGAATCTCAAATTGCATTTCTGTTTAATCAACCATTCACAAAGGAAAACAACAATGAAAAGACATTCGTCGAAGCATGAATAATTATGGATCTCTGTCCAGGGATACCTAACTTCAGTCGAATTTACCACTTTTTTTCGCTTTCGTTCGAGAATCTTAGCCGTAACAGCACTTTACGTGAAGTACCGTGTTAAAAGACGGTCTTTCCAACGCCGGATCAACTTACGTGCAAATTGCACATGTTTAGATCGATATAAGCTCCAACATATATAAAATTAATGACCGAATATACAACAAATTCGCCGGGGGATAAATGCACAACTTCTTAATTATACAACTTCAAACGAATATACATACCAACAGGGCCATTATCAAACAAACAGAGATCGAATGCTCCTTGATAACCACATCTGTAATTCGTCCTCGTTCCACCATCCCATTGTACAACAACAGTTTTATCCGGGGAAGACACACTGCCCGTTTTACCAACAACAACTACAGTGCCAACATGCCCCTCGCCTCCATCTTGGTTTGTCCACTTCCAGTCAGGTCCTCGGACAACACGGCTGCCAGTTTCCATCGAATTCTCTGATTAAATTCTGCTCTCTAAAGAAACATGCCTTCCGAAGAAATCTGCGGTTTTACAGCGATACGTAGAATCCGAAACAAAGTTGTTGATTTTCTTCGAAAGGCAAGCGTATATTTCCTGTGTACAGCGGACTAGCGTCGCTCCAGACTCTTCCATAAACTCTTCTCCCACGACCGGAAGTCGGAAAAATTATTTGATCACTGTGGAAACGCGACACTCCTATATTTAGTCATGCTTTTGAGCTTCTTAATTTTAAGTAAGGCTTCAGATTTTGGTCTCTCGCAGTGAGAAAAGGTTTCCGGTTATATCAATTTGCTCGATTTTAAAGAGCTGGCTCACAAAAATATATTGAGTGCAGTCGGATATACGTCACTTTTGTGACCGGAAGTGAATCAATATCACGCCTTGTAACACTCGTCCAGAAAAATCTGATTTAAGAACGCGTAATTTACCGCCGATCTTTCCACGTAAACACAGCTGAAGATGTCTCGACACAATGGAGACTTTCGTGACAGTATCTTCGCCTCACATTTTCGCTTCGCGCTAAATCTACTGTGATCGACATGGACCAAATCACTGAGCAATTTGTCTGCTTCTTAAGTCGTATTTTACACAGTCCCAACGTTTTCAATTTAGGGCATCCCAGGATCTGTTTTAGTTTCTTTTTAACCCGAGGCCAACTTGGTTGGGCAGGTCGTGGAACCTATGCGTTATTAATTGAAAGACAAGGTAAGAAATTCCTCTGTACTGTACTGAATGGATTTGCGATTCACAGCAAATTTCCGGGTTGCAGCGAAAACCAGATGCCCTCTATTTTTGAGGCTTCCGATGCTTGATTGTTTGATTATAGTTGGAAGAACAAAAGTTTAGAAGTCTTCGACGTAATTAATTAAGATTATTAAAAGAATGGGGGTGAAGGAAATGGGTGAAAGGTTCTGCTTTGCCGGACACAACAAAATCGATCGGGAGGGCAGCCGGGCTCTTGAATAACCTTCACATCGTTTGAAAGTCGAGTGCCATTTTTTTTTTTTATTTCTGCCAAATCTATTAGAGCAGAAAACTAAAATCATTTGCTTCATAACATGGACACCAGGATAATACACAAAGGACAGTGTACAATGTTTTAGCAAGTTATTATAATCACCATTTAGTTTTGGTTAAAGCATAAAAATGTGATGATGATTTAGGGCAATTCCAGGGGAAATTGTTTGCAGGTAAAAGTTTTCTCCATAGTTCCAGTTGTGTTGATTCACCATTTGTATCAATAAACCCAAAAAGAAACTTCCAAAGTATGTCTTTAGACAGTTGTTTTGGACGCACACTCGTACTTGTAGTCCATTCGGAGGAGGCTGTTACTAGCGAAGATGATCTGAAAATGAATCTACTGCGGCATTTCCCAACGGAATTGGTCCAAGGCCACCTGGATGAGACTTGTTAACCCAGCAAGGAAGTTTCCACCAGTAGCTCCGGAAGACTCTTGTCTTCTAATGCTTGGTTTTGCAGTGTAGTTGACGTAGCGGCAACTTTATCAACCATTAGTCTTTGAGCAGTTTGCATCCTCTCAAGTGGCTCTTTCGCCGTGATACTTTCCGTTCAGTTCTTTGATCTTGTCTCGAATATTCCACATGGTTACGACGTAGTAAATGCCCGCTTGTCTCACCTATGATTTAAGCGTCTGCAAACGGCCCTTTACGCAACGACCGGTTGCTGTTGATATTTTTAAGTGAATTATGATGAAATATGCAAGGGTTGCTATGGAAACAGTTATGATATGAAAATAATTTGCTGATTACAGGAATTGACCCATCAGCTGACATAGAAACTGAGCTTCTACAGTGTAGCCGGGCATTTGCTCCTCTCTAGGAATTCAACTAAGTCCCACTAACTGACTCGTCTGATAAACTGCACAGTAAACATGTCTTTTCAAAAATGTCATAGGTTCCTTTGGAAAAATTGGTTTGAAAGAGGAGTTCTTAATTCAGTTCTAAGTATTTTAAGTTTTTCAATGGAAATAATAAATGCAATAGGCTTAGCATTCGCTCTAATTCCCTTTTACCTTTAACGTTTTGTATTTTTTTACCTATCGATAGTTTATGGTAGCAAGAACAGTTTCTCCATGGAAAAAAATGCCACGAGTACGGTAGTTGCCATAATGCTCGACCTTTTCATTTCGTTCATTTTTCCATAATGATTTAATGGTAATAATTCAAGTTTCCGCTCCACAGTGAAATATTACAGGAGTTCACTGCATTTGCTCTGATGCTCTTTTCATTCTATTAACGCTCGATATTTCCCTAACGGTTTTATAGTCTCTTTGTAGTCATGGTAACGTTGCTTTTCATGATAAAACACTGCCAATAATAAGTACATATAAAAGTGAGCCTTGCCACACATATGGTGGTCAGACTCTGTTGCCTGTACATTATAATTTGAATATATCAACAAAGTTGAAATGGTAAATTGGCCACCGTTACGATTATAAAAGCTGACGTTTCGAGCGTTAACCCTTCGTCGGAGCGAATGCCGAAGGGCTAACGCTATTCGCTCCGACGAAGCCCCAAACAGTTTCTTTAGAAACTATCAGCTTTTATTGCCTGTACATTAATTGCGCTTGTTTTTATTGATTATGTTTGTCAGTTGAATGGAATAATTGTGTTGTTACATTTCTGTCAACGGAAGTTTGCAACAAAATATAAAAATATAAATAAACATCTTTTCTAATCTTATTGAAAAAGATAATTGTTTTCTTTGTTTTAAATTACAGAGAACATTTCATTACGACTCAAAGTTTTGGAGCTATAAGAGACCAAGGTACCGACCTACTGGAAAACATCCTCATCCGTGCCATCTACCTGGGTCGTTACTCGTGGAAGTGGCTGATTGGTTCACAATACTCCTTGAACTGAAGCTCCACTGCAATAAGGAAGGCCGAAGGGTTCATTGGGGAGGGAGGAGACCTTCGTCAATCCAAAGCAAGAATCGGCATCATTGCTAACCAGCAGAATTTCTGCTTTTCTTGTAACTCCAGGATTGATTTTGGTACGGGAGGTCTACGGGATGACTCCAACACGTGTGGAAACGAAGTAACATATTCCCTCGATAATGGAGAGAAGCACATCAAAGGCGCCATCACGGGGGTACATCTTAGTGCAGTGACATGCACCATGAACTTCCCAACTTTTAAGCGGAGAAGCCATCTTGAAGTAGGAAAATGTAGTGAGCTAAGGCTTACCAGCTTATAAAGCGATGGGTTTAATTTCGTAAAATTACCATGATTAAACTAATTAATTGAGTAAAAGTACATTTGTTGTATTAGGGTGGTCGCAAGTAATATTTGAAGAAAGAAAGAGGTCGAACAATAGTAAATAATAAAATAAATTATAATATAACACCAAAAAACAGAAAATATGAAATTTTTTAAAATATGGGCAGGAAAGACATTTTATGGAAAATTATTGTCAAAAAGCGGTTTAATTATGAAGGCTTCTTCCCATTGCAAGTTCTCCCCAAACCCCTTTGCCAGATTGGCCCCTTAGGTAACACAAGTTACCCCCGACCATCTTTTTCAGCTCGCCCCCGCGTGTTTCAACCCGTTTCTTTACGGACTAACATATTCCTTTTTCGGTCGAAATCACAATTTATTTTGATCAATATACAATTCACAGCAAACCCAGAACAAAGTTCGATCAACTTGCAAATTTTTAGGCGCGTTAATAAACGCACCGGTAAAGCTATGCCGCTAAATTACTCAAAGCTTGATCTGGTTTGAAAAAGCTCAAACGCGTTTTTGATTGACATCTTCACTTAATCAATACAGAGAAACAGTCTACGTGTCCTTTTGAAAATTTGGCTTAATCTTAAACAGATTTAAATTTCAGGGAAGAAGAATTTGTATTTTATGTTGATTGAAAATTTAAAAGTCTTTAGAGCTAGGGACAACTTCGTTGAAGGGTAAATGCTTAAAGGTTAATCACTGTTCTGTATAAAAACCGACATTCTTTGTCAACAGAATTAGTTATATCATTATTCTTTGTCAGTGCAGGCGGTCGCGACAAACAAATGATCTCACGCAGATGTTTTGAACATGAAAAGCAACTGGAACGCTCATCGATCGAGCAGCGAGAGTCACAAAAGAACTGTTGAACGCTTTGAACGAGTAGACGTTAATATTATTTATGTTCGACAACCTCGGTCACTGTATTTACATGGTACTTGAATGTACATCATTATCATTTATAAATGGTATTTATATTTAAACTTGTCCTTATAAGTCAAGTCCGACACAGAGGTCGCAGTTTCCCTTTTGTGGACCAACCGTGGACGAAAGTTAATAAAATAAACTGTGATCTGACATCTTGATGATTTGTTCGGAAGCGAAACGAAAAATCAAAACGAACACTTTTATTCCAACACGGAAAACTGTTATTCCAACACGACCGTTAAACAAACTGCCACTCGATGAACCAAAAAACTTTCAACTCTCCCAATAAGAAAATTGCACACGTCAAAAATAAAACGGTCCGCGTGATTTGCTTACGAAAATATTTAACCTACGTAATCCCAAAGCACGCGCACGCGAGTCGCGTGCGCTAAAGTTCGTAAACGTCTTCTTAACACGATTCTTTACGGGCTAATTTATATTATCAACCCATTTGTTAAAACCAAAGTATCTAGTGATACCCCCCACCGAATAAATACCACAGTTTCTCAAGAAACTGATCCCCCTTTATTTGATTTCTTCGGAACTAGGGATCCCTCTCTTTTGAAACTAGCCGTGAAAATGCAAAACAGGTGGACGGAAAATTCAGTTTGCTTGAACACAGCCCTCAGTAACTTTATCGCAGTCCTTATCGTTTGACTCATTTTAATTATACAAAATATAAGGACCATAGACAAAACAATGAGGGTCTTAATTAATGATGTGAGCACGCATGCATGCACAAAAATTAGTCAATTCGTTAAAATAAACAAAAAATTGGTTTGAAAAATCGCTCTATCGCCGCTCTCTAAATTGGCTTTTCATTCTTCAGTACGGACAGCTATATTGTGAGTCTATGATTATTTCTTTGCACGGATCTGTCTGCAGTGAATAATGTTAAAATAAACTTAAACTCAGGATTTGTCTACAGGATGACGTTGAATACGAGCAAGAAAATACGAGTCATGATAAACAATTATAACAAATAATAACGAAGCAAAATCACCACAGTAAGTTATTCACCGGTTGAGAAACACAGCAAAACTGAAGAATTTTCTAACGTTGATCAGTTCTCAAGATGCGTTTGTTAATTGCAGTTTATTTCGTCGCTAATGTCCTCACACTATTCGTTGTTGTAATCAACGCCAGACGACAATCCTGTACCGCCAATCACTGCGGTGCGATCAGTATAGCTATCGGGAAGCTGGAAACGAAAGTGAACAATTTGATTGCGTTTATAAAGGACGCTTTGCCTTCAGATGAGCCCCCAGGTACTTTTTTCGATGATATTTTAGGGAGCGGCATTTAATATTTTCATCTTTAAAGAGTTTTCAACTCGCTAACACTCTAAAACCGCAGTCTTGTCTTTCTTACAGCCCGTCCCTTCTCTTCTTGCAAGGAGCAGTACGACAAAGGAAAGTAAGGATGTAGTACAATGTTTTAATTTCAAATTCCAAATCGCTCGCTCGATGTTTACAGACCATTGTTGTAGGTATAATGACTCTGCTCGTGCATGCATTCGGGCTGGCTCAATCCGTTGTAATACTTTATTTTTCATGATGAGGTCGAGACGAAGCCAAGTGTACCCGCTGATGTTTGGTTCTCAAAAGATTCCTGTTTACTGTCACATGGGAAACTTTGGATGTGGTGGTGGAGGATGGACGCTGGCCATGAAGATTGACGGTACAAAGGTAAAATCCCTGCCTCCTTTTAGAAATTTTTAAAGTTATTGAAATCTAAAAAAAAAAAATAATAAAAATTAATAAAACTGCAAGTCTTTAATTTTTTCCAGAGAACCTTCCATTACAATTCCCATTTCTGGAGCGACAAAAATGCGTACAACCTTGCTGTAGGCAAGACTGGCTTTGATTCACAACAGACCAAGCTACCAACCTACTGGAATACTCCCTTCTCCAAGATCTGTCTCGGTATGAAGATCGGCAATCAGTTAAAATTCATCGTCCTCCATAAGCAGGCCGACTCTCTGCACTCAATAATTGCTGATGGGAAATACCGCGCTACCTCACTTGGTCGTTATACGTGGAAGTCGCTGATTGGTTCAAAAGCCTCCTTACAGCGCAACTGTAACAAGGAAGGATTCAACGCGAAGTGTACCGTTGGAACAGGAGGACTGGCAAGGATTGGTTTTGTTGCAAATAACGAAAACGACTGCACTAATTGTGATTCTAGAATTGGGTTTGGCACAGGAACTAGGTTCAATGAGCCTTTCACTTGTGGCAACAGGGCTAGATGGTCAGCGGATAATGGCAACAAAGACATCAAAGCCATGGGGTACATCCTGGTGCAGTGAAAGGGAAACTGTACGTTATCCCCGACCTGGTTCAGAACTCAGGCTCCATGAATTAAAGTATAGAAGTAGCTTGTGGGGTTTAAAGTAACTGATAATGAGCAGAAATGTTTTCAGTATCGTGATCGGGGATTGAACTGAAGCATGACAGGCGGCTAAACATTCTAATGTAAGACGCTTTTACTAGTTAGTAATTTGGCAGAAAAAGTTAAATCATTTTAGTAGACTATGGCTATTCGATTTCATTGGTAACCTCTTTTTCCAGTTACTTATTTTAATAAAGCTTGATGATTCTTGTTGGGTTACTTGCTGATCTGGTCCATTTGTGTTTTGTTCTTATGGTCACTCTTCTATTTAACTAAACTGCGAACGAAACTAAGACCTTTTTTTTATTTAATTTAATTTTTTTATTTTTGATTTAAGGATTTGTACCACGTACTGGAGCAGAAATAATTGGACATAGGTCCCCTACGAGGTTTAAGCTCCAACAAACCCACCCATCCCACCCCAGGGGAGGACATCCATCA